AACTGTGGTGAAAGATATAATCAGATACTACCGCACCTGGTGTTGAGAGCCGCCTTTGAGAGAATCGCAATCCATTTTTGGGTCTCAGCCCAGCGTTTGAGATCCACTCCTTGACAGGGGCTTGGTGGTAGTAATGGGGGGTGGAGTTTGCAAGACCACTGTCTTAAGCAGGGGTCATTTCGTAGAAAAAGAGGTGCAGGAGCTCATTAGCATGACTTATTTACATATGCCACACCCCCTGAAATCGCCGGAAGTGTGTCAGAAGGCAACACCCACCGCTCAGGCTCCACTGGACTGTTTCGGATTGGTAGCTATTGGCGTGGGGGGGCGGACGTGCAGAGGAGGGAGAGCCTGTACCTGAATAAAACTTGGTCTTAAAGGTGCCACTGGACTGTTTGGGGCCAGGGGGAGCTCTGCAACTTACCTGGCTGCTTCTTGCTCTGACTGAGGGCTGCTGGGAGCAGGGGGTGGGGCTTTTTGCCTGTGCCCGCCCCCTGGGCTCTTTATTGCCGGAGCTCCGCTTCTGTGCGCTCCTGCAGGAAACGACCCCTGGTCTTAAGTCTATCCTGTTGTGCTCTACAGGAGTGAGTGGAGAAGAGGGGCACTTCCATAAATTGTGGTTGGCTCTCTTGCTCCTTGCAGTGCAACTGGGAGACCCTCACCCCTTTCTCCTCTCCCCAGGTGAGCACTTTAAATACGAATTTGGCGAGAAGGAGCTGCTGATGAAACTCTTCCAAGAGCTGCACCTCAAGACCCCGCCATCGCCTCCTGCTCCCCACGCCCCCTCCTCCCGTACGCAGTACATGTGCGGCGATGCCACAGCCTCTTCCCTCCTGCCACTCCACAAGCCAGGCCTCCCCCCGGGAGGAAGCGCTTTCCCCCTGCTGGAAGGGACGCAAAACCTTGTGGGGCTGGGTCGGGCCCAGAGTCGCTACTGGACTTTCTTTGGCTTCCAGGGGGACGCCTACGGGCGCATCCTGGACAAGAGCAAGATCATCTGCAAGCTGTGCGGGGTGCGGCTGAGCTACAGCGGCAACACCACCAATCTGCGCCAGCACCTCATCTACAAGCACCGCTGCGAGTACAACCAGTTGGTCGGGACGCAAAGCGCCACGCTCGACAAAGGGGTGGCAGGGGCGGGAGAGTTTGGCACTCCCCGGCCTCCCGCCCCCGGCAGGACCACCCGGGCGGTGGCTGACTTCATTGTGCTGGACTTGATGCCTGTGGAGGTGGTGGAAGGAGAAGGCTTTGGGCAGATGTTGGGGGTCTTGGACCCCAGCTACAAACCGCCGGACGCCGCCTCGCTGGCGCACACGGTGCTCAAGGACATGTACACCCAAGTGAAGGGGAAGATCTGGGAGCTGGTGCGGATCCTGCCCCAGTGCTCCCTCAGCATGGACGTCTGGCGCCACAGCAGCACCCTCACCTACCTCACGCTCACTGTGCACTACGTGGACGACTGTTTTGAAGCCCGGGCCCGAGTCCTCTCGAGCCGCCCTGTCCCTGAGGAGCCCAGCGCTGAGAGCCTCGTGGAGGCCCTCGCTGAGGCGGCCAAGGAATGGGGGGTGCGCGAAAGCACCTCCTATACTGTCGGCCGCCTCAGCCCCGCCACCCAACAAGCTGCCTCAGCGCTCGGCTGGACGGCCTTGCCTTGCGTCGGGGAGGCCCTGCGAGCGGCCATGGAAGCCGTGCTGGGCCAGCCGGCTGCCCAGAACGCGCTGGAAAGGCTGCGCCGTTTGGCCTCCTGGGCGCTGGCAGGGGCAGGCCGTGGCGAGAAGCTGTGGACCCAGGAGCCCCTCCTGCAGGCTCACCTCAGCCGCTTCCTGCGGGACGGGGGCAAATGGCACGGCGTCTACACGGTCCTGCAGGGTCTGTTGGATCACAGCGAGCCCCTGGCAGGGCTGGGCCCAGACGGGGAGGCGACGCTGCGTCCCCAGGACTGGGCCGCCCTTCAGGATACAGCCAAAGTCCTCAAGCCCATGGCAATCGCTACCTCAACGTTTACCAAAGACCCCTTTTCCAGTCTCTCCCTGGTCAAGCCGGTGCTAACAAGCCTCCTGTACAAACACTTGGTGCCCAGTGAGTGGGACTCCACCCTGGCCCACGATGCCAAAGCAGCAGCCCAAAAAGAGCTGAGCCAGCATTTCTCCAACCCGGATGTCAACCAAGCCCTCAACCTGGCCTGTGCTCTGGACCCCCGCTTCCGTGGCCTGGATTTCCTGAGCCACTCCGACCGCGTGGAGACCTTGCACTTGCTCAAGACGGAAGCCTCGCGCCTGGCCGAGAGCCCTGCCTTGTTGGCCTCCAGCCTGCCCGATGTAGCCTCACCCCCGCCCCCTACCAAGCAACCAAAGCAAGATGCGGGCATTGAGTTCCTGCTGGGAGACCTGTGCAGCGTGCGCGGCGCCTCTGGCGTCGGCTCCGCGCACCAGCAAGCTGAGCAGGAAACTGCCAGCTTCCAAACCAGCAAGGCATCCGCCCTCGGCCAAGAACCGCTGCAGTGGTGGAAAACCCACCACACCCAGTATCCACTGCTGGCCCGGGCAGCCCGCAAGTTGCTCAGCGTGCCCGCCACTTCCGTTCCTGCTGCCTGGCTCTTCAGCAGCGCCGGGGACGCCATCCAGACCAAGCGTCAAGCCCTGACACCTGAGCATGTAGACATGTTGGTGTTTCTCCACGGTAACCGAGCCATGCTCTATTAGAAACAGGGTGGCATGGGGGGGGGGCTTCATCTCTCTTTCCACAGAAGAATCCCAGACCTTTTTCCCTTTAGGGAGTGGAAAAAAGAGAGAGAGAGACATTTAGTGCTTCCAGATCCCTTCTCCCTGCTTCCTTGACTAGTCTGGAACAAATAATTCGTTCCCCCGCAAAAGGAGAAGCAAGGTTTGTGTGTTTTGGAGAAGAGCAGGGAAAAGAAGAAAACTGCTGCCAGGGGGTCAAGGGGGTGTGGTGGCTGTATTCAAGCTTGGTCTGGATTGAAAGGTATAGCTGTGCCTATAACAAAGAGAAGGAATAGCCCGAGTGGGGGGGAAGACAGCTGGCTGCAGAAATGGTTCCTAAGGAACAGACTACATGGATGGGAGTGGAAGGAGGTGCAGGAATATTCCATAAGCATGGGGGAGGGGAGCAGATATGCGGAAGAAGGAATGTCAATGGTCTGGGTAGGACTTTAGTGTATGGGGACCGTGGCTGTTCTTATTCCGGGAGTCAAAAAGAGAGCAGGGGCTGGAATTGCCCCGCAAAGGGAATGAAGATGGCTGGGGGAAATTGAGAATAGGGAATGGCCTGTGATGAAAAAGAGATGGGTGGGATGGGAACATAGGTGAGACGGGAATGCTCCACGTGTGGTGGGGGAAATGGGAGCAGTGTTCCCTCTAAGCTGAGTTAGTGTGAGCTAGCTCACGGTTTTTTAGCCTCCAGCTCACACATTTTTGTCTTAGCTCAGGAAGGAGGGCTCCAGAGCAAGCTAACTTATGCAGTAGCCAAATTGCTCACTCACAACTTTAATGCCAGTAGCTGACAAAGTAGAGTTTTTGCTCATAAGACTCCACAGCTTAGAGGGAACATTGAATGGGAGCTTTGGCTAGATGGGGAGATTAAAGGAAGCTATAGATGGGGGGAAGGTCCAGGAAGTGGGGGCTTGCTCCTGTATGAGGGGAAGAGCAGGGGGGAAATAGCTTGACATATTCCAAATAAATGTGGATTGTAGCCTATGAGAAGAGGCATTTCCACCCCATTTTCTGCTTGTTCACTCTTCCTCTAAATAGATTTGGGGGGGGGGGGTCCTTTAGGGGTTAGAGTGAGTGTGGACATCAGTGGTTTAGAACCGCAAGGGATAATCGAGCAGAGATTTCAGCAGCAGCCAACCCAACCAGGCTTTCTTCTTTCGTTTTATTGCGTCCTCATGGAGTAGCGATAACTGAGGAGCTCCCAGGCACTGTGGATTCCACGAAGGCCTCTAGCTTCTCTCCTTTCCCTGCCAAGTCCAAGGAGCTCCAGGAAAAGATAGGGTGACTTGAAAAAAGCACCAGCCCTCTTGGAGAATCTCTGGTTCCATCTCTCCTTCTGGGGAAGCAAATTGACTTTAAAAAAAAATCCCAAAGAGTATCAGCCATTCCTGTCTTACTCCATCCCCAGGTAGACACTCCATTGTCTCCCACACCCACATTTGCATGCATTTGAGGTGTTCAGACTACTGAAAAAGGTAATCGGTGTGGTACAGGGATTAATGTGTCACGTGAAGAGCAGGGAGCCCAGGTTCAGATCCTCACACCACCACTGGGTGACCTTGGACTGGTCACGTGCCCCCTCTTTCAGCTTAACCTACCTCACAGGGTGGTTGTGAGTATAAAATGGGGAACGGAAAAACCATGTGTGCTTGCCCTTGGAGAAAAGGAGGGATAAAGGATATGACAAACCAGGGGTCCCCACCCTTTTTGAGCCTGTGGGCACATTTGGAATTCTTACATAGCATAGTGGGTGTAGCAACAAAAAGCCAGCACAAGTACAGTAGCCAGAATACCTTTGGCCACATATTGGAAATCTGAAAAAAATTCCAACTAGAGAAGAAATAAGTTTGAAATTGTTGAATTTAGCAGAAATGGACAAATTGAGCCTGTTGATTTAGGGAAAAGGAGAAGACTGTTTCCAGAAAAAAATGGTTGAGATTCGAGACTTTACAAATGGATAGACAATAATGTTAAAAATCAGACTCAAATGTAAATCATCAAATTATGGATAATATATGTATGAAAGAAAACTAATAAAATATGTTGGACAAGAAAAAGAAAAAAAAGAAGGCCAAGCCAGCCACAAAATGACTGCCACAGCTTAACTTCAGTAATACAGTACAGATCCTTGTGCTGTGGTGGCAGCTGCTGCCGAAGCAACATTCTTAAAAATCCGCACAGCCAATCAAACCTCAAATAATCAATCGGAAGCCTTACTGGGCAAAAGCTCTACCTGGCCCCACTGACTTCCTAAAAATACTTGGGGGGCACCAGAAAAGGTGTCAGTGGGCACAGTGGACACATATTGGGGACCCCTGTGATAAAGTTGAGAAGGTGACTGTGAAGGTTTCCAAGATGCTCTTTTCTCCACACAAACACACCCTACCGTGGCCCTTTACTCCCTCCCCTATTTATGTCTGGAGGGGTGGGGGAGTTCAAAATTGAATGCTTCAAGAAAGAATAAAAGATGCTTTATTTTAAAAAGGCCTTTCTGGTTTTATTAAGTGGGGGTGGATAGGAGAGATTTTTCCCAAAGAAACAGCAGAAGGTCACATACTCCTGTGGGGAGCGCAGTCGAGTAGCCAGCTGCAGAGGAGGCTGCGCATGAATTTTACCACGCCACCCCCTTTTGTCAACTGTGACCCAGTTGCTGCTCACTTTACCTATGATTCAGCCCCAGGTGAAAAATGGCTGTATTAGATGAAGAGCAAGAGACACCTCAATATTCTTGCTAAACTTTATTTAGCAGCGTTTGAAGGGAGATTTGAGAGCACCAACGCTACATCATAGGAGCCGCAGGGCAATGCAGCAAAATAGACAACAGAAGTAGCCTGGCCTTGGGAGAGGGGGAGTTTGGACAATCTGAAAGCCAGTGGGCAAAGGGAGTTTTCACCTGATGGCATTTTGTGCATGGACTTGGGTGTGCCGTCCATGAAGCTTATATGAGAAAGTTTTTTTAAGGTTACAGAGATCCCATATTTTTCCCCCACTCTGCAGTTTAGGTGAAGGTAGTTTAAGAAGGGATTCTGTACTGAAAGGAACTGTAATTACAGGTTTCCTTTTAATCTGTGTTTGTCCTGCCTTTTTCTCACTCCTGTGCCTTACAACCAGTTCCATGGAGTGATTTCTATGGGGCAAAACAGGTGAAATAATTTTTAAAAGCCTTCCCAGTGCTAGGGCTCCAAGTTGAAACTCTGGAGATCTTCACAACTGGTTTTGATCATTAGAAAGGACCATGTGATCTTAAGTCTCTTGGGTACTAGGTAATCTCGCTATTACTTTCTGTGGTCTGATAACAGTGTTTTCCCTTTGCTCAGTGAATATTGTTATTTGAACTGGGGTGCCTGGAAGGATCCAGTATAAGCTAGTATCCTTAGTCACCATGCTTTACGCAAGTAAGTTTTTACAGTTCTGGAAGCCATTCTGCTATGGGCCTCTTTAGACAACCCAGTTCCAAGGGGATACTCCGGAACCATGTTGCTGTTTCTTTCCAAGCTATGGACATTTTCTTCTTTTAGAGAGAGGCCAGGTACTATTTGTTCTTACAGGGTCTACTAAATAAGAAGGATGTTTTCCCTGTGGAAATACTACAGGGCCCAATAGCAGTTTTGTGTGTGAGTAGGCAGGATTTATGGGGGGAAGTGTGTGTACATACATACAAAATGGGGGGGTCTGTTTTCTCAGGGGTTGTAGATCCTCACACTAAAACCAGCCTTCTCAATCAAATTGGAAGGCCATTTGGGCTAAACTTTGGAAACTGGATGCCTCCTAGAGGCGATACTCGCAGATGTAATACATGCGCCGTTCACAGTCATTGTCCCACCACTTTCCATCATCAGAACTGAGGCTGACGCAGTTCTCGCGAGTGCTGCCATTGGGTTGAGTCACCAAGTGGTCACGATACCAGTCAAAGACTGAGACCCGCTGCCCGTTCTCAAAAAGCCACAGGCCTTCTGCACGCCGGTCATGGATGCCTACCCAGGCTGGCCAGTTGTACGGCTGGAAGGCGTCGCGGCTGGCATGGCCAAGTTTCCTCCCCGGACTGCGCACAGTTTTTGTGCCCCGTCGTAGACCTCAAAGTGCTTGAAGATCAAGAAGCATTTGCTTTGGGTGCGCCGGCCCCTCAAGCAACCTGGAACGGTGCACAGATAATGAATGACTTTTAAATTCTTGTCTTTTGGTGATACCTTCAATCAATCCTTCCTCCACCACCCCCTAGAACCTATCTTTTGATTCATATATCCTGCCTTTATTCTCAATAGCTGCTCACAAAACCAGAACTAGACCAATTTGAGCACAGCCCACTGGTAATATTTAAAACCATTATAACTATAGAATATAACTGTATGTGTCAACCAGAATCTGTAAAAACAGTCAAAGCTGCATTGGGAGAGAGAGTGAAAAATCAATCCCTCTCCATTGCCTTCTTGGATAATGCCAATCTTGAGGCATTCCTTGAAGATGGCTGAAGTTGCTGCTCTCCTCACTTCCTCAGAATAAGCCTCCCCCCACCAGGCCTGCAATTTGCTTCAGGCAGATCTAATCACCTTGCCTGAGGACATGCAGAGAAGAGTCAGTTGGGACAAAAGGAATGTTTTGTTTTGGTCCCTTCAGCCCTGAGCAGCATATGAAATTCTGACTCTTTCAAAATGGCCCTATTACTTCGTTTATAGTCCGGCTGTCTCACTGAGGTCTGAAGCAGATTATGGAATTAGAAAATGAGGCAGTAAGGGCCAGGATGTTGCATGCCTTCAGATGTGCGCTAGAACTGGATTACAAAATTAGAGAACCATGAAATAAAAGCAGGCCTCAGGACAAGGAAGGGAATGAGGGTTGGTGCTCTGAGGCAGTAAGATGGGACAGGCCACTTCAGTCTGCTGAGGGTTACATTTTTCAAACATTCCCCAACATCAATCATTACTTGAATATGGAAAGGCGGCGTAGGGTGCGAAGGCCTAGGCTCTCCCTTTTCCCCCTGATGCGCTAACCTAAATGGCCCTATTACTTCGTTTATAGTCCGCCTGTCTCACTGAGGTCTGAAGCAGATCATGGAATTAGAAAACGAGGCAGTAAGGGCCAGGATGCTGCATGCCTTCAGATGTGCGCTAAAACTGGATTACAAAATTAGAGAACCATGAAATAAAAGCAGGCCTCAGGACAAGGAAGGGAATGAGGGTTGGTGCTCTGAGGCAGTAAGATGGGACAGGCCACTTCAGTCTGCTGAGGGTTACATTTTTCAAACATTCCCCAACATCAATCATTACTTGAATATGGAAAGGCGGCGTAGGGTGCGAAGGCCTAGGCTCTCCCTTTTCCCCCTGATGCGCTAACCTGTTTTATTTGGGGAGAACTTTGGCATGGATGGCATTAAGCTTGTCACTCTTCCCCTGCAGTCTGAAGTGGTATGGCCTATCCTGTCACCTCATTCTGCCATAGATGTAGACCAGCAAAACAACTGCCTATGAAAAATTGTTTTACCTAAACAAAGATAATTACACTACTCAAACTATTCAATGAAAATTAATCTTATATCATATACAGAAGAGGGTTGGTGCTCTGAGGCAGTAAGATGGGTTAGGCCACTTCAGTCTGCTGAGGGGTGATTACATTTTTCAAAAATTCCCCAACGTCAATCATTACTTGAATATGGAAAGGTGGCATAGGGTGTGAAGGCCTAGGCTCTCCCTTTTCCCCCTGATGCGCTAACCTGTTTTATTTGGGGAGAACTTTGGCATGGATGGCATTAAGCTTGTCACTCTTCCCCTGCAGTCTGAAGTGGTATGGCCTATCCCGTCACTTCATTCTGCAATAGATGTAGACCAGCGAAACAACTGCCTATAAAAAACTTTTACCTAAACAAAGATAATTAAACTACTCAAACTATTCAATGAAAATTAATCTTATATCGTATACACAAGAAATACAAATTCCAAAGGTATTCATATACCAACAGTATCAAAATTCAGATTCTCAGATCACAGGCCTTTAAGGGCTGGATGTATTACAGAGGATGTACACCTGAACTGAGTTACGTGGAGGTATTTTAATGTGTATGATAGATGTGATTCAAGCTAAGAGCAGTTGCAAACCAGAAGAAAGCCTTGAATAGGTATTTTGGAAGAATATGCCTGAATTTTGGTTTCAGTGATATCCTGTTTTGAGAAAGTGGTTCCTCCTTGAAAAAGCCTTGTCAGGTGAAACGTGGAACAACATCGCTAGCGTGCCCGTAGGACAGTGGTTCTCAACCTTCCTAATGCCGCAACCCTTTAATACAGTTCCTCATGTTGTGGTGACCCCCAACCATAAAGTTATTTTCGTTGCTACATAACTGTAAGTTTGCTACTGTTATAAATCGTAATCTAAATATCTGACATACAGGATGTATTTTCATTGTTACAAATTGAACATAATTAAAGCATAGTGATTAATCACAAAAACAATATGTAATTATTTGTGTTTTCTGGTGGTCTTAGGTGACCCCTGTGAAAGGGTCGTTCAACCCCCAAAGGGGTCGCGACCCACAGGTTGAGAACCGCTGCGGAGGACTTCATTGGGATTGCCATCTTTGGATATCAGTGTTGTGGCTCAGTTGTCTAGTTTCAACTTGGAATGTGGTTTCTGTTTCTGAAAATTGAAGACACCCGAGCTCCTCCTACAGAGTGTTTTATGAGGCTGTGATGGACTGTGGGAACATTTGGGTTTTTTGCCCTATGATTTGAAAATTTGAATTTTGATACTGCTGGTATATGAATAGCTTTGGAATTTGTATTTATGAGTTGTGTGTACGATATAAAACTAATTGTCATTGAATAGTTTGAGTAATTTATCTTTGTTTAGGTAAAACATTTTTTTTTACCCATTGCTGTTTTATTGGTTACATTTTCACTGTGTGTCTCACTATTATAATAGGTGTAGACCAGCCATAATCCTGAGTTAGGGATGCCAGCCTCCAGGTGGGACCTGGGGGGACCACCAGAATTAAAGCTCATTTGCAGACTACAGAGATCAGTTCCCTTGGAGAAAACGGATGCTTTGGAAGGTGGACTCTATGGCATTGTGCCCCACTAAAGTCCCTGTCCCTCCCAGACTCCATCCTCTAATCTCCAGGAGCTTCCAAACCTGGATCTGGCAACCCAACCCGCCCATGCCAGGGGGCAGGGGGACATGGCAACCCTAGCTGACGAAGGCTTCAAGCTGCAGGTGAGTGACAGCGGCGTTCTTTAAGGTTTGCCTATGTAAAAAGGCAGTTGTTCTGAGGATAAAATGGAGGAGGGGAGAGCAATGGTGGAAGCCGCTTTGGGTCCACGTTGGGGGAAAAGGTAAAGGTTCCCTTGCTCGAAAGCCAGTCAAATCCGACTCGAGGGTTGCGGTGCTCATCTCCGTTTCCAAGCCGTTTCCAAGCCGAAGAGCACTGTCCAAAGACGTTTCCGTGGTCATGTGGCCAGCATGACTAAACACCAAGGCGCACGGAACACTGTTACCTTCCCACCAAAGTGGTACCTATTTATCTACTTGCAATTTCTTGCTTTCGAACTGCTAGGTTGGCAGGAGCTGAAACTAGAGATGGGAGCTCACTCCGTCATACGGCACCCCTGGGTCTCGAACTGCTGAACTACTGACCATCCACAGCCTGCAATTCAGCGTCTTAACCACTTGAGCCACCGCAGCTCCCAAAAGGGGAAAAGGCAGGGTATAAATATCAAAATAAATTTTCCTTCACACAACAACTTTGTGAAGTATTTTAGGCAGAGAGAATGTGACTGACCCAGGTCCTTTCAGGTCCTAGGCCAGCTCTCTAACCACTGTACCACATTGCCTTATTCTTCTGTGGAGATAGACCAAGATGGGTAGCCGCGTATGTCTGTCTGCAGCAGGAGAAAAGAGTAAGAGTCCGGTAGCATCTTAAAGACGAACAACATTTGTGGCAGGGCAGGAGCTTTCAAGAGTCACTGCTCGCCGCTTCAGATATCTGAAAAAGTGAGCAGTGGCTCACAAAAGCTTATACCCCGCCACAAATGTTGTTCGTCTTTAAGGTTCTACTGGACTCTTGCTATTTTCATATTCTCCTATGTGTGTAGATCAGGCCAGAGTCAGTGGGTGTTCCTGACCTTTTTCCTGTTTTTTTTTCCCAGTTCAAAAAGTGGCCTTTGTAAAATTGTTGGTCCAGTTTGCTTCCTCACTAGGGTAACAACCATTGTCATTTCCCCTTGGGGAAACTAAATGTTAGGTAATGTACAATTTGAAATCAGTGTCTGTGTTTGATTTACCATGGCAAAGAAATCTACCCCACCAGCCTACGCAACCACATTGGGGCAGGGCTTTTTTTGTAGAAAAAGCCCACCAGGAACTCATTAGCATAATAGGCCACACCCAACAGCAGGAACTCATTAGCATATTAGGCCACACCCCCGACAGCACAGCACATTAACATATTAGGCTACACCCCCATGTTATCAGAAGTGTGGCCATCCAGCCACACCCACCTTTTGCTTCTTATTCTGTTTACCTTGTTTGTTGTCAAAACCCAGGACTTTTTTTGTAGCAGGAACCCCTTTGCATGTTAGGCCACACACCCCTAATGTAGCCAATCCTAATGAGTTTCTGCTGTTGGGTGTGGCCTATTATGCTAATGAGTTCCTGCTGGGCGTGGCCAACTCAGGAGCCAGCCGGAACTCCGTTCCTGTGCATTTCTGCCCAAAAATAGCCCTGCATTGGGGTAATTTGAAATGTTTTTTTAAAGAAAAACAAGAGGAGGAGTCACCTGGAAATGATTCCTAGTTGCCACAGGTGAGTAGCCACGTCACCGATTATGATCATGACTTATAAAATTAAAATTCCTTCTTGAACACTGGTCCCTCATAAAGTGCTGATGCTTGAAGGGAATCTTATGACCTGGATGGATCACACATACCACCACCACCCCATGAATAGCTGCCTTGCTAGAAAGATGGAGCCAATTCCATCCTCCTTGTCCTCACCGTCAATTTTTCCAAGCTCTTTCTGGTTGTGGATAGCAATTTCGTTCAGGGAAGCAAGGGTTTCACGAGCTTCGGCCAGGCCCCCCTTCACTTCAGCCAGGCCTTTGGAGAACTGGGATACCTTCACGTCCATGTGATAGAACTGCACATTGAGGCGATGCACAGCTGCGTCCAGGCTGTTCAGACGGGAGACTGTTTACCAGGCAGAGAAAGAGAAAAAGCACTGATAATGCTAAATGAGGCACAGGAGGAAGAGAGTTTAGAGCTGTCCTAGTTAGTAAAGGGACAAATATGAGGTATCAAACTATAGGGATGCATGCATCACAGAAGATGTTCACCACTAAGGGACCTGTAGCAACTTGGGTCCCATTTCCTAAAATCCAAACCAGCTCATGTCAAAATTAAACTCCAAACTCTCCTTGCACATCAAGACTAAGGGTTACTGCAGAAGCGGGTGCGGTAGCAATGAAAACTGTATATGATTTTAGAGACAGAAAGCCGAAGTAAGGGCAGAGGGACTCTGATAAATGGCTCTTTGAAATAAAGAAGATGCTCAGAAAGTTCTCTCATAATAACTAATTTACTAATACAGAACAATGTGAAAAACAAGAACTCTACAAGGATATTGTTTTACTAACTCTTTTAATACTAATATTAAGTTTAACATAAAGGGGGTCTCCCACTCTTGGGTTTTTAGTTAGTGTGGGTATCTTTCCTTTATCCATAGTTGTAGTTCCCCCTCCTATATTTTTCTTTGTAGTTTGTAGTCTTATTAAAAAAAAAACCCCTCCGGGGGTTAAAAAAAAAAGACTAAGGGTTAGATCCAGTGCAAAATACTCACTTGTTCAAGAGCTCTTCCATATGTAGAAATGCATGGAGAATACCATGGTAGCTGCTTGGACCAAGTCAATCTTTATTGTATCTTCACTTGTGTTTCTGCTTGTGCAAGGTCTTGTGCTACCAGTTTCAGGGCACTGCTTGTACATCATGGTTACAACTACCACTCTGCATGTGTGGGTGTGTGCCTGGAGGGGGGAGTGATTCAGGGTACTTTTTTGCTATCTCCAAAGATCAACCAAATTGCCCATTCCTGTCCATTCTCCCCATCAATCACCAAGCCATACACATTCATAAACGAAGACGCCGGTGTTGAGAACCATTGTAAGCAGCAGAGAAGTAGGAAAGGGAAATGGCCAGGAGAAGAGACATGGGATGGGGCGCGAGAGGAAAACACTCAAGAAGCTCAGCTAGCTATCTTTAGTGGAACAAGGCTACATGGGGCCTGCTATTTTGGCAGAAGTTAGGGCTTACCTGTTACCCCCACCCAGTGTCAGGCAATTGAGTGGCAGAAGAAAATGACGGAGGGTGGCACTGTCATTTCCAGTTGCTGTGGCCTCACTGCTCTAGAATTTTCCTTCAGTCTCTATGGTAAACACCATAGTGGGATTCCTAGAGCCTTGCTGACCTGGTTGCGTCGCTTCTGGGTGATCACCCAGAAGTAATAAGGGTTGGAACACTTTCCCTATGAAGAAAGGTTAAAACACTTGGGGCTCTTTAGCTTGGAGAAACGACAGCTGAGAGGTGACATGATCGAGATTTATAACCAGGGACAGAGCAGGTTGAGAAAGAAATAATTTTCTCCCTTTCTCACAATACAAGAACTTGTGGGCACTCAATGAAATTGCTGAGCAGTCGGGTTAGAACAGATAAAAGGAAGTACTTCTTCACTCAAAGAGTGATTAACACATGGAATTCACTGCAAGGGGAGGTGGTGGCAGCCACAAGCATGGACATCTTCAAGAGGGAATTAGATAAGCATATGGAGCAGAAGTCCTTCAGTGGCTATTAGCCACAAAGTATAGATAGGAACTCTCAGGCTGGGGCAAGTGATGCACTGTATTCTTGGTGCTGGGGGGGGGCAACAGTGGGAGGGCTTCTAGTGTCCTGGCCCCACTGATTGACCTCCTGGTGGCACCTGGTATTTTTGGCCACTGTGTGACAGTGTTGGACTAGATGGGCCATTGGCCTGATCCAACATTGGCTTCTCTTATGTTCTTATCAGCAACATTCTCCTGTCCCACGCTCTTTCCCCCCAAAAGCTCCTGGGAGCTGCCAGCACAGGGCATGTAACCCTGGCACAAGAGCACTCGGGAGTGACAAGTCACTCTCCAAGCAATTAAAAGTAGCCCTCCACCCCTGCTTCAGTGCTGTTGTAATCCTTTTCCTATCCTTCCCTTTGCAATTTTTCCTCCTCGTTCATCCAGAGTTAAAGGAGACATGTGCATGTACACACCTTTGCTCTGGATGGGGAAATGATAGAACCAGTGCCTTTTTCCATCTGCCTCTCCACCTTCTTCATATACCCTTGCTCTGGACAGGAAACAAGCATGTTTTGATTCTTTCCTGCTGCATCAAACCTGCCAGTTGCCTCCTCCAGGGAAAACATAAGGTCACTATACATTTCCCCCCAGCATGGCCAGTTACAATTGGGGAGGGGGGGGAATAGTTCTTTTTTTCTAGTGGGTTCTTGATCAAACCAAGCCTGAACTCTCCCTCAAAGCTCAAATGACTAAACTGAGGCTATTGTACTTTGGTCACATTATGAGAAAGCAAGAGTCACTGGATTAGATGATGAAAAGTTTAATGCAGCAGAAAAAGAAGAAGACCCAACATGAGAGAGACTCAGTCAACAAAGTTCCAGCCCTCAATTTCTGAGACCTGAGAAAGGCTGTTAAGGATAGGATGTTTGGAGGTCATTAATTCATACGGTCATCACAAGCTGGAACCAACTAGATAGCACTTCACACACACAGAGACCCTCACACGCAGTAGTTTGTGTTGGGAAAACACAAGAGGAAAGGTTTCTTGACCTGAGCCCCATCTGCAAACTTGGTCTGAAACACAGTAAACTTTGTCCAAGATGCGTTTTATGACTGCCTCCACCCACCAAGCTGCGGCTTTTTGACTAGTAGTCCCCATGTTTCTTGGTGTGTTTTTTTTTTAATTAAGTAGTTCCCAGAAACATAAAGTCTGGCCTCCCTCAATGTAGGTTATTTGACAGCACTTCTCTGTACAGACCAGGACTGTTTTTACTGTCTATGGCCAGCCCCTTTCAACTTCTGTGCCGCTAAGAATGTGCTGTCTGTTCCCTACATGCATCAAGAATTATGCTATTACAGACCTATCTTTCTAGGGGTGGCCATCTTGTAAATACCAGTTCCCTAGTTAAGGTGAAAATCCACAGGCTGCTGCTGATGTGCTTCAGAGGTTGAGTTAGTGGTGACATGGGGAATGTGCCGTCCTGTTTGGGTGTCTCTGTGTGTGTCCATTTCTCTATGTAAGAGCAGGCTAAGAGAGGGTGGCCTCAGGCTGAAAGGAGGACATGGGTCATTATAAGGCACCAGTACCCATGTGTCCAATACTTGTGGTAAAATCAGGGTGGCCGTGGCTGCCCATCGAGTTCTGGCCTAGAACGAGCACAGAATATCTGTGGTGAAACGGGATGAAAAGTAGAGTCAACTGCAGCCAGCATTGTGGGCAGGGAAGGGGGTGTTTGTGTGTGAGAGATACTTGTGGGCAGTATCCGTGAGGAGAGTTGCAGCTCTTTCCCCACAGTGGTATATTTTCCCTCCCACCAGACATGAAGAGCCAGACACAGGAAGAGTAATAGTCACAAGATTGCACCATTTTATTTCAAGTTAATTTCAGCTGTCTTCAGAACACTGCTTGAGCAGCAGGGCAGGGTTTAAATGTGAAAACAAACAAATCTGGATTTGGTTATACAGGGGTCCCCTTCACTCACTCACACACACACACACACACCCCTGCAGCCATTTCTTCAGGGTGCTGCCATATAACCACTTAGGGGGATTACCTGTCATGGGTGGGCAGCGGGCCAATGGCAAGCCTAATATTCACAGTGCTCTCCACATTGTTCCTCTCTCTCTCTCTGCCTTTTTTTTTTTTTGCTTCTGCTTGTAATCATGCTTTTTTCCCCTTCTTAATCTCCCTACTAACACTTGGTTCACACATGCAGGAGAATGGGGTGGGAACTGAGATGGCAGAACCCTAAAGTGGTAGAATGGAGAACAGCACTTCAAGCCACACGTGGTGGAATCCAGCAGACAATATTCCTTTGCATTAAAAAAAATACTCCATGCAAATAGAAAATGAGCCTAGCCAGGTAGGGTTGTCAGGTTTGGGGTGGGAAACACCTGGAGATTGGGG